TGTCTTGTACTCTTAAATGCTTTTTCCAACAACTTTTCTCAAAACAGCAGTATATGAAAGAGAAGGACTCCCCTTTCAAACCAACAACCATCCTCATTCTTCCCCCTCCTTCCATCCCATGGTCATTGTTGGGATCTTCTGTTCTAGCAGCAGAGTTTGAATTGGGAGATTTCCCAACTTTGCCTGTTTATACAAACTTTTATTTAATCCATACATGGATATTTTGAGCGAGTCCATACACAAAGAATAAAAATTGACACATGCTACTCTATACCAAGTTTTTTATTTGAATAAATTCTAATTAATTCTGCCAACCTTCTTTGAGAGGGATTGTCCGAGACACACATGGAACTGGTTATCAAATACCTGAAGGATTTTCAGAAGCATTATCCTCTGTTCCATAGTCTCTGCCCGCACCATCAATCTGGACAGCCTCAATGCCTGGTCACTGTGTACCAACCCTCTGTGATCACCTAGAAGTTTCTCAACCTCATCTTCCAACTTTAAAAAAAATTAGAGAATAATGTCTTTTGGTGAAAAAATTGATTGTAATAACAGCTTTGTGAAACAAAAAAAGTGCCTCAAAGTTCAGTTGCAAATTCACATCATAGACATCAACTTGCAGTCTGGTAGGTGAAATAATATTGAATTTCATCAATCATTGTGTTAGACGATGTTTACCAAAACTAACTCAAATTTGAGAAAAGTTGTGACACATTTTTGAGTCAAAGGGAATTCCCCTTCACTTCCAAGTGGATATTTACTAATAAAACTCTGTATCCTACCACAGAAAACATACATGCAAATGAGCAATCTCATCAGGGACAAGCTAAAGAACAGGCCATGGTTGTTGGGAGAGTGCATAACACTATCCACTGAAGAAGTCTTTATCCAGTGGATGGCACAGTAAATTGGATAGCATTTTACAACTGAACCCTGCTGGATAGCCTTGTCTACCTGTTAAACCACCATGCTCAGAATGATAGATTATACAACAGCTTTATTGCTACATTGCAACAAAAGTACAAATGATAATAATTTGTTCTTCATCTCACCGTCATATCATCAAATTCATTTGACAAGTTCCTTGTTTGCTTTTTTCGTCTCCTCCTTGGTGAGCTTGTGATAGGTGGGGTTGCTTCCATGGAGAAAGAAAAGAAAAGCATGAATTACACCTAAATTGTGTGACCTTATACCTCTACAGTCTAGTATCAGTATGCAGATTCTCTGTACTGTTCTCTATACATTTCATAAGGTGCTGACAAGGAGAGTTTGTTTAAAAGATCTGATTGTTAATTCTCCCCTCTAGCTGCTACACATTTCCTTGTAAATTAGTTACAAGAATTTGATGTTAGATCGAGATAAAAACTTAAACCTGATAAGTTTGAGTATTCTCATTATTGGTTTATTGGATAGTGTATGAATATTAAAGAGAGAAGTTATATGTTTAATACTTCTGGGAGTTAACGGGTTAATGTGTGACTCAGGGGGGATATCACAGGGAGAAAGTAAATCCTGGTCACTCTCAGGGTTGTAATTAAAAATCTTTTTGCATACTTATTCTTTCCACTGTGTTCTTCAGAGGTGTTTGCTTGTCTCCTCCAATAAATCCACGACAATTTGGTGCTTCACAATGGCAAATCTGAGCAACTTTCCTGATTGATGACAAAAATTATATCAATGAATTTGTTGTAAGCTTCTCCTTCCCAGTTCAAAGGGATCTTCTTTCTGTGTGACTGCTGTACAGTTCCTCACATTTTAAAATCTCTCAGTTTAGTGTCACCTACAGACATGAAGCTTTGACAGTAGCATGTACATTGTCCACTTACCCATAGCGCTGCAGTTTGTAATCGAACGTGAGCTCTGCACCAGCTGGGATGGGTCTCTGAGTAAAAAATCCAATCCTCAACAAGCCATGGACAGTCCACTGCAAGAAGTAAAAGAACAAAAACCATTCAGTTCTTATCTTAACCCTTTACACCCGAACATCAGTATGCACACCCTCCATACTGTTCTCTATACAATTCCTAGGAAGCTGACCAGAAGAATTTGTTCAACAATCAAGAACTTCTTCAGTTACTGATCATTTCCTTTATTCTCATGACCTACAGGTTTGATTCAGGAGTAATATTGTGAGGAGAAATTGGATGCTAGTCACTCTTAAGGGTTAAAGGATTTAAGTACAGATGTAGATGTGTTTTCTTTCAGTTTCCTGTCAATCAATCTACTGTAGATTACTTTTGGAAAAAGAAGTGAAAAGCTGGTGTTATTGATTATGATATAAAATGGTAAAATAGACTGAACAATTCATTAAATTACCTTTTGAGTTTCACAGTTTGAGTCACAGCTGTGGTTGATAAACCGAGACAAGTTCCCCTTGTAGGTGGCATCAATTAGCTGCACAAAGAAGGAATTTTAAAGAAGCTATAACTCAATAAGTAACAAAACCATGTACTATAATGATTTGTCTACCTACATGTACTGTATTACATTAAATATTTAATATTTTGGCCAAGTAGACTGGTGCTTATTGGAAGGAGGGCACTGAATTAAGGGGAGTGCTTATTACCCTCCTGTACTGATTGCCCTATGGTTGAGGCAATAGAAACAGGTTTTCCTTTTGTCCCTACTATTTAGGGAAATGAGGAAGAAGGGGGGAGGTGCTTCTTTTAAGATGGGTGCTTAAGGCCTGAGGGATGGACATCTATTTGGGAGAGGGTGCTTATCAGAGCTTAGGCTCTGATTCAAGGAATAAGCATATATCAAAATTTAATTTCCCACAATGGATGATTTCAACATCACTTACTAAGGCTCAATGCTAGATGTAAGTCACATATGAATCTAGTAAACAACTGGGCTGGCTATGGAGTTCCTTGTAACTCAGTTGATAAAGAATTTGAAAATGATAACAGGCTGGAGATTATATCATTAACCTGATTGGAGTTCATGCCATTTAAATACGTTCTTTGTCCACATAGTTGACAATTGAGTAACAGTTAAGCAGGGTTTTAGATAAGAATCCCAGAAAGCAGCAAGGAGGAGTGACTAAGGAGAGAGGGGATACCTCCTGACATGTGTGCAACCACTTGAAGGGATCTAGGGGTACACCAACCCTCCTCCCACCCCTCCCTCCATAAAAATGGTAAAACTTGGGTCTCAGAGAATGCATTTTGTGCACTTTGAAGTAATAATCAGGTCACTTCAGTGAAACTAATCATTGTCATTTCATTCAGCAAAAGGAGCAAAATCATGTGAAGTAGCTTAACAGACCTCCAGCTCTTCTTGAAAATCCTGCTCACTTTTGCTAAGATGTCATTACTGTTGGGTATAATGATCTACTGAAAAGCCTTAAGATGACCAAAGAATTTACCAGCACTCATCACATCATCACAGCAGTGCTGTTATTGTCTCTACTTAAAAAAAAAAAAAAGGTTAAGATTTCCAATCCTTACCTCATCAGCTCTCAATGTCATGAAGTAGTAGTGTCTTCTGTTTTCTCTATCATAACGCTCTGCTCTTTCCTGGAAATCTTTGTAGTTCATGACTTCTCCACAGTACTCCATAACAAACTGATTCCTGAACAACAGTTACAACTTTTAATTGAGTGACAAAAGTAATTAAGTATTGTTTTTGGTTTTTTGCTATACTCTGCTCTGTGATTCTGTCCCCCCCCCCCAAAAAAAAGGAAGGTGAAAACACGAAATTAAAGACCTGCAAAATTAAGTATGAATAAGGCATTTCCTTCCTGAAGATATAAGTAAAATATAAACTTACGATTCCAGATCTTCAAGAGTTCTCAATCCCCAGCCTTTCTTCTCTGTTTTAAACACTTCAACTTTCACTTTACAGCCCTACAAAAAAGTGTTGTACATGTACATGAATTTGAAATCCTCTCATGGTTGATAACAGCATATAAGAAGTGATTAAGATGTAACTTCTTCCTATAATATCCATATATCATCCAGCAACTAGTAAGGAGAATACTCATACTTATCAGGTAGAATTTGTTAAATTGATCAAACACCAAATTCTCATAACTACTTTAGAACGAAATGTGTAGCCAATCTTATTTTGGGAGTTAAAGGGTTAAAATACCCATTATCTTTGTTGGCTGCTTTGTTGGGCTAATTGCAACCAATCACTCTTTATTTAGTACTAATTACATTCAAGGAGGCACACAAGCCTAGTTTGTATTGCCAAGATCTTTTACAACTCAGATCTAATTAGTTCAGCCACAAAATTCCTTTATGGTCAAATAAGCTGAATCAGACTTAGGTAAAATGAAATCTGCCTTATGAACAGATGACAAACTTCACTCTACCAAGCTCTACAAAAGGATAATTCTCTTAATTACTATTAGATATAAATATCGATTCTCCCAGCTGTTTGCAATGCAGTTTACATAATTAACGCTTCAAGAAATTGGCAACATATCAAACAATATCCTTTCATTGAGATTTTTCTATCTCCTTGTAACCTTAATGTTTGAGAATGTACTGATATAGCGAGGAGAAATTCTTCTTCAGTCACTCTAAGGATTGAAAGGGTTAAAGAGGCAGTTGCCTCAACAACTAACCCTTACCATTTCATGAACATCAATCTTAATGCTGTAATGATAGTTTCACTAACCTGTTGAAAACGTTTATTGCTACACATCTCTCCGCAAGCACATCTGCTGTTACTATTTGGAGATCAACGAAAGACAAAATGAGAAGGAAGACTTTTAGCAAAATTAACCAACAAGAGACTAAAAGATACCAACCATTCTATCATCAACAATCTGTTAAGACAGTCCTCGCCACAACCATTGGAAAATGGATCATCTGTTAAAAAAAATATATCAATATGTTCAACAACAAAAAAATCATGTTTCCATCCATCTGTTCAGTAAAAATTAAATCAATGTCAGTATCTGATCAACTGAGCACCTACCCCTCCCCTAACCCAACATTAATCCTAACTTGTTATCAGTTGACTGTGGTTGAATTAGGGGAGGAGTAGGCGTGCAGTTGTTCAGACACTGACATTGATCCAGGAGACCACAGATGATGTTGAAATGTGGTAAGAACAAGACAAAGTAGTACACAAGGCACAGCTGAGTGTGACACTGATGCTCCTACCTTAAAATAAATAAGTAATCTATTTGTTTTATATCATACAAAGGTATAGGGCAGGTCATGCTCAGCTTATCTCATAAAATGTGATTAAGAAGACCTTGACAGTGGGTTGCTAAGTTCATGTAAAATGCCCATAACCATATTCAGCATATAGTGAAGTCTATGCATCAAAGCCATTAACTTACCAGAATCTAAGGTACAATCGCACTGCATTCTGCGCACTTCCTTGTTGACTTTCTTCTTTCTGAAACATGAGATGAAAAACATGTTGCCCTGGTAACAGTAACAAGTTGTTTGAAGGGTAGAAAACTCAACTCTTTTACATTATGATATAATTGCACACTGCAATCAGTAATTAAACATGAAACCCACCTGTCAAATAAGTACTCATTCTCTTCAATATGCTCATAGTAAGGCGGTTGACATTCTTCCGTTGAAGAAATAACATGCTCCCCAGATACCTGGGAAAGTAACAGTATTCATAGGTATTTTCAGGTACTTTTAATGTTGACCTGTTCACTCTCAAGATCTTATTAAAAATTCTCCTTACTGTCTGCCATACAGTTCTTGTGATTTTAGTTTGGAGAATTTGGTATAATCCCCTAGTTGGTATTTTTCTTTATTCTCATCACTTGTCTGTTTAATATTGTATTGATATTGTCAACTGTCTTGGTCACTGATGGGACTTTAGGGGTTAAAAGTGGAAAAATTTCAGGAAGACCCATGAACTTCAAGACGTATTGTAACTATTTACAGCTTCCCATACCAGATGAAGTGACAGGTTAACAATTTGCAAATAGATTCCAGGATGCCATGCGTCTGATCAGTAACCAATCAGAGATGATGTCAAAATGTGGTAAAAAAAAAAAGCCAAGTGCATCACCACATCTCCACATTTTCTGTGACCTATTCATAAACAGACTCATGGCAACATGGAATCTATTTGTCTCTTATAGTAGAATTAATGATAATGTTATTTATGCATCTCTCCTTCAAACAATTATCAATAAGGACTAATCAAAATGCATGCATGATTCAGCTCGTTATATAAGTTACCACAACACTAGCGACCAGGCAGAAACAAAAAATTATACTCACATCTTCATCACTGTCAGACCTGGAAGAAGAAAAAAAAACCATTTTAAAATGTTACCAACATATCTCACCACCATTTTAACTCTTTCACTCCCAAGATCTGATCATTAAATCTCTCCTCAAGCTGCTACACATTTCCTTTTAAATTAGTTATGAGAATTTGGTGCTAGATCAAGATAGCAGCTTCTACCAGACAAGTTTGAATATTCTCATTACCTGTTTGCTGAATAATATATGGATATTATAAGAAGAAATTTCATGGGAGTCTGGGAGTTAAAGGGTTAAGTAGATCAAACTGGAATTAATAACTTTAATTATATGGGAAAGGTATTCATACCTTCTAAAACAACACAACTGAACTCAATGCATTTGTATTCAGGCAAGACAAACTCAATGCATTTGTATCCAGACATGACCAACTAATGCATTTGCATCCTAACACAACAAACTCAATTGATGCATTTGTATCCAGACATGACATACTAAATGCAATTGTATGCAGACATGACAAAGTAATGCATTTGTATCCACACATAACAGCTTACACATGTACCAAGCCCATAACATTTTGCAACAAGAATTAACAAACAAAAGCAAGGGAAACAATTAACTTCTAGGTGCCTTAGTTTTTGGGGTGTATCAAAACTTTTCCTCTGACTTTTTTCTAACAGCTTTGTAATTGTGTATCAAGAACACAACACTCTCAAATTACATGCAGCCCCTTCGACACTTGATTTAATTTAAGGTAATTGGGTGAGGTGGCCAGTTTGCTAAGAAAGACTCAAAATGGCAGCATCCAAGGGTAAAATCTGTGTCACATTTAAGGACATCACAGTTTAAGAATCACAAAAGACAGGCAGTATTATTATTTCATGTTAACTTATTACTGGCAGAGATATCATTGCAAGGTTTTGTAGCATACTCGTCCTTTGAGACTTGCTAAGCAGAAAATGTTTTAAGGATTTTCTGAGAAACTGATGTTATTTTTCTCTGAATTGTAGAGGAAACCATCCCCACCCCCACCCCCACCCTTGTGAAGATTTGCCAGCATTTTACAACAGCAGACATGATCAGTAAATTGATAATAAAAATGTTTGTGTATCATGACTAAATACTGTTGTATTAATTAAAATTGAGTTTCAGATTGAAATTTCAATGCACAGCATTTGCAATCCGATCCAGCTTCAATTAAATAAATTTGCCCAAGTGCTACCTTCCCCACAACCACTGAAGATTTCACAATCTCCTTTGCAACGTAACGATGGCAGATGCGCAAGTTCGTTCTGTTTAAACGAATTAACACTTTGTTTGTTTGTTCACGTGTTGTTGAAAATAAACCTCAAAACGCATGTTTGTCAGACGGTTCGCTTAAAAATCAGAGGGTACGGAAATTCTATGGTCAGATTTAAAGGCCAACTTTGGTTAGCTCCTTCCTTCCGCTCCGCCAATTAGTTATACTTTGTCGTCTCGACGGTCGAAGTGGGCTGCAAGATTGATTTTCTCCGTTTAAAATCATACATAAAATATTTTAAAGCTTTGTAAAGGGGAATAACTAGTAATTCAGTGTATCTGTAGTCTTTTGAGCCTCTTTCGCGAAAGGACATGCAAATAAGTAGACAGGACTCGTGGGATTTAAAACGGGGTCAAGGCGGACTTCACTGTAGACTCCCTCAGGGAAATCAACCCAAATTGCAACCTGCCACAGAATGAAACTTGCTATAAAACAACACAATAACTCACGATTTCATCACATTAATACCTGAAAAAATCACAGATCGATTTAAATTTTCATTTATCGCAGATGTGTATACAGAATCCAAAACACGCTATCGAGCCATTACACTCTCTATGTAAGCCTATACACCATAATAGTTAAAAAGCTTTGCGATTTTTCACTCAAAGAAGACTTAAACTTTGTCGTTGATAATTTTTTCTGACTCGTTTACTTACCCACTGTCATCTGTATGACCAGAATTATCCGATCTTTCCTCAGTAGTCATGTCTCACGAATATTTCTAAAATTCAACCCCGAAATAGAAATGAAAGGCGATAAAATGTGCTTTGCAAACAATGCAAGCTAAGTGTGACGGTCCTGCAAAGTGAATGTTTTCTCCACGATCTTTTCCTCGGCGTCGACGAATTTTCCACAATATCTAAATTATTTGATTCTTTTCTCCTTTCTACAACGGAACAGCAACTCCACACTCAAATCCATTACGAATAACGGCCTACACATATGCAATAACATCAGCAAATCTATCGCCTTTCGCATCCAACGCTCGCGGTAGAGCGACCGAGTGTTGGTACATCCGGGAAACTGGCGGACTGCCACGTGTTCCAATTGGTCTGTCCCGCTAGTAAACTTTGGGAGACTTTCAGCTTTGATCAGTATACAAATATTACTTGATTTCCTATTTTCCCATAGTATTGTGACAAAAACTATCAATCTTACCCAAACGCCACTTTCTATGCGTCGGTGGTAAATTTTCAACTATTTTTTCATCTGAGCTTGATTGTTGCGACCGAATGAGAGTTGTTACATCACAGCGAATTCTCCATAGTTTGTGTGGAAAATGCGCGGGATGAGATTTGTGCTTGCCTCACTGAACAAAACAAGTGTGTTAGCCTTTCTGCAGTGTTCGGAAGCGTGATAAATTATTCACAAGGGATTGCCACTCAGGTAGAGGTTGGCGAGGGTAAACAACGTAGGCTATCGGAAGGCCACCCGTCATCATCAATGGTATAATTTTCTCAAAGAAGGCATAAATTGCCTTTTACGCGAATTTCATAACGGCTACCTAGAGAAAATCGGGGCAAACCCACACACGTATCTAGCAATGAGTGGATATCTGGGAGACCTCTCTGCTTCTCAACAAAAGAGCCTTGAGGAATTTAAAGGAATGTTAACAACAGAGACCATTAGTGATGAGGTAAGGTAAACTATGACCGGTAGGGATCGAGATCCCAATGTAATCTTGGATCCGTTTATTACCACTGCTGTACCTAGGCGCGATAAGTTTTTTTTTCACGTGTGAATGCTAACAAAGCTATTACGTGTGGAGCTGTTGGCTAATAAATTGTTTGGAGGCTAACATCCGATCGTTCCTGGATGTTTACGTCGGGATGCGATGTAATAAAAGTTAAATTAGCTCTGAGCTTATATTTACGATTCGTTGTTAAAACCCTGAAAAGTAAAATGATTTTGTAATAAATGACGTGGAAATGAGCTGTTGAAATAAGCAAAATTTCCGCTTTGTGCCCATTCTTTGTCGCAAAGCTGTGTCACTAGGTATGCTTTTTCAAGGTCGATGAAAATTACTCTGGAGAACTCAGCTTCCCAAGCAAGAAATTACTGAATGTATTAATCAACGAATATTAATGACCAACTTCATACGATCGATGTTTACATGACCGTTCAGTCCCTGGAGCTCGATATCACCCCTCACGATAAATGCAGTATATTTATAGATCACCTGCACGTTGGCACGTCATTTTCATAATCCCCTCTTTGCAATAATACAACGTGTGGATTACGTCTGGTGCATGTATTACGTGATATTTTTTGTGTCGATGCTGACGGAAAGTAAACATAGAATTAGGAATGCATCTCCCCGATGTTTTAGCAACTCTTATAAAATCTTTCGTTTTTCAAAGGTTTTATCGCATTATGCATGAATTTATAACTTGCTTCACAATTAGCTATTATAATATTAATTGTAAATATATTTAACAAAGCGAAAGGACCTGTTCGCGAAAAAATATATTATTTAATTGTTTGTTGTTTGATTGTAACGTTCAGCTTTTCTTTGTGGAGATATTTTCTTATTGCCTCAAAAGTGGGAAAATTATAAATATATTTTATGAAAAATTTGATCTGATTTTTAGTAGTTAGAAAATATTGACAAAATCATCTTTTTTTTCTTATTAAGGTTGTGTAATTTTCAGCAGTTTCTTTGAGATAAATGTTTAACTTGCCTGGCTTTATGAAATTATGCAAACTTGGAATATTCATAATTTAAATAAGAGAGGCTCTTTTACAAAACGTTTGTGACGGTTATTGTTTGAAAGTGTAAATTATGAAATTTTCTGGTATCAGAGCATGCACAAATTATTTCAGCAGAACAACACCTGTCTGTCAAGTTGGGTTAATCTCTTCTCTCAAATCTGAAAGGGTGTAAGTTGGTTTGTAGTTAGTGCTTTGCTATTGATACTGCTATATTTAAAAAGCAAGAACAAAGAAGGCCAGAAATCTTTTCATCATAATGAAGTCAGTTTGTGCTTATAATTAGTATTATGTTCTATTGTTTAGGATGTTCAAAAGGTTTCCAATTTCAAGAATAATTATTAGAAATTCACAACTGTTAATTAGCTGGGTTTAGTTTATGTTGATTCTGATGAATTCTGGAAATTTTTTTGCATAGAATTTCAAGTTACCTTACCTTGGAGAACAATCTTCTTAATCATTACATTGTGGTCACACTTTTTGCTCAGAATTTTTTCACAAATACACTAAACAAAACTACTTATTTCCAAACTTGTTGTCAACTTTCCAATGCTATGGAATGATTTTTGGCATTTATTTAAAAAAAAAAACCAATGATAATTTCCTAGCAAAATCTTTACAACTTTACATGCACTTTATTTTTATATTCCCTAAACTACAAAAGACTGATCATTTTTGAAAGTGTGTTCCTTCACGGTATAAAAGATGTTGTATCTCATTGTAAAACTTAAACTGTCATCTGCAAAGCTAGAAAACTTGCTGGACATTTCCTAATGTGTTTTTTTTTAAAGTTTTGTTGTGTGTGATTTTTAAGATTATCTGCATATCAAGGCCAGCAAGGATATAAAATCTGGTCTTATTCTTCTCAATTTCCTAATGTTAACCCTTTACAGCTTAACATCAGTGTGTACATTCTCTTTACTATTCTTTATGCATTTCCTGAGGTGTTGTTGAGGAGAATGTGTTTCACAATCAAGAGCTTTTTTAATTGGTGATTGTTTCCTACATTCTCCTGATCTTGATGTATGATTTAGGGATGATACTGTGAGGAGAAATTAGATGCTAATCACTTTCAGGGATCATAGGTATAACAGGAATCTGATACATTTGTTTTAGGCAACTTTACTGAGATTTTTACGGGCGCGCAGTTTTGACACAAAGGCTGCTTACAAGTAAGACATTCTCTTGATTTACAATTACTTTGTATAGTTCAACACAAATATAAGTTGATTGTCCCTTGAAACATACATATATTTGATTGATAATTGAGGATTGAGGTTTGTGGCAAGTGTTGAGATGTTCAAAGCTGTTTGAGAATGACTGTGGAGAAATTTTTTGGTAGAGACAACAGAAAACTTTTAATTGGGTTAATTTTTTGACACAGCTGAATTTTCTTCACATTCAAACTGAGTGAAATTCTTAGTTCTGAATTTTTGTAAAGTAATATTATTGTGTATTGTAATGCAAGTGTTCTCCCACTCCCATTTTTTTGGTAGCCAGTATATACGGACCCGGGAGTGGCGTGTTAACAATGATATAGATCATGTCCTCGAACGTGAGGTAAGTTTTCTGTGCTTTTTTATTATGAGTGTGAGTATGAACTTAGTCAGTAAGTGTGCTAGCTCTCAGACTACATACATGTATTAGTCAATTAGTCAGCCAGTCAGTCAGTCAGCTAGTCAGTCGTCAGTTGGTCAGTCATTCATTCTGTCAGCTAGCCAGTCAGTCAGTTGGTCAGTTGTTAATAAGTTAGCAAGTCAGTTAGGCAGTCATTCAGTCTGTCAGTCAGTCTGGCAGTCAGTCAGTCATTCAGTCTACTAGCCAGTCATTCAGTCAATCAGCAAGTCAGTCAAATAGTCAGTGAGTCTGTCGGTTAGTTAGTCCATCAGTCAGTGAGTCATTCAGCCAGTCAGTCTGTCATTCAGTCCATCAGTCAGTCAGTCAGTCAGCCAGTTGTCATTCAGCAAGTCAGTACATCAGTCAGTCAGTCAGAAAACTACTATTTAGCCCATTTTTTCATCGCAGATTCTTTCATCGCAGATTCTTTCAATGAGGTGATCAATCAGACTTTCACTCGTGCAACTAGTGGTCGTTAAATTAATGTTACTGTAATTTTCTGCAAAGTTTGAGAATTTTTTAATAAATGCTTAGCTCTCTTCCCATTTTGATTTTCACAATAATTTATTCCCTTATTTTTCCAGAGACCATTAGATGAAGAGATGAAAAAGGTATTAATATTCTAGACAGGCATATATATGTCATGAAGATCCATCAAAGTGAAAGGAATTGAAAAGAGAGGTTTACATGTATTAAATTAAAAATATCCTTGGCAAGATTTTTATTTATACAAATTCACATTTTTTTCCATTTATTTACATCCAAGATCGTATCCTGCAGTTTTCACAAATACGATAAACTTGGACGCCCCTGTTACATTGAACACACAGGAAGAACTGATACCACTGCCCTGATGAAGGTTTGTTCCAAACATTTAAAGTGGATCAATTTTTGTGCTGTATTTGTCACATAAAATGTATTTTCTAAAAAGATCTTTTGGTTTTTTTTTAAAATCTCAAAGCAAATTCAAATTAAGACTTGCTTGTCTTTTTACATGTAGCTTCCTCAAGACCAATTCATAGGATGGCACATTTGGAATAACGAAAGACAAATTCAAAGAATGAGGGAACTTTCCACAAAACTTGTGAGTAACTTGAACCCTTTAAGTCCCACTAGTGACCAAGACAGAATTTCT